GGTGTTCCCGAGAATACTGTGAGTGTAGGGTTGCTGGTCGGCTGTGAGGTCGTGCTGAAGTTGTCTCATGCTGCATTCATCACGCTTTAAGGGTTCACTGGTGTGCGACCCAGAGCAACAACTGAGCTCTGACGCACTCTGTCACACATTTTATTTAGTTCCTCTTCTTGCAGGACATTCAGATGCAAATTTCGATTTTTCTGCTACAAGCAGGGACAGATTCCATGAGAAAACTCACAAACCCTGAGTTTCTGACTTTTGAAAAAGGTGTTTCAAATCAGACGTTAGTATTTCTGGTATGCCCTCTTGTTATGAATGCAGCATTAGTCCTGAGAGGAGAAAGGAGAGTGTAGGGTCAGGATCAGTCCAAGGTGGGCAGTGGAAGTGTGTGATTCCATGAAAAACCAATCATCACGTCTGAAAATCAACCATATTCGAGGCAGCTCCCATGTGAATGAACATTGAGGTGGAAACATAGGTGAACGTAAATCTTTTCAGACTGAGACCCCTGAAGAAAAGTTCAGCTATCACTGTACAGCCCTAGTATAGAGTGAATTTCAGCACCGTCTTAAACAGATGCAATAGTGCATGTCATACAAAAAAAAAGAAGACACCATTAGAATCCAAAATGAACGATAGACTAGTGGTACTTTACAAAATATCACATTAGTTCATTAAATAGTGGAGCAGTCTCACAATAGATCGATCCATATTTCAATGGACCACATGAAGCACTGACAATGTGAGATGGCAGTGTTTAGCTGTGCAATTATGTAACAGACAGCACTCAACAAATTCAAATAATGACTAAGAAAGGAGGTAAGTGCGAGGTCAGACTTCTCGTGTACTTCAGTCAAGTCCACAGTTTCAAGCTGCATTTCAGTGGCTTTTTGTTCACCTGAACTTAGTGCCTTTTTTTAATTGCTACATAAAAAAAACTGCTGGCAGTTTTAGTCTTAACCAGATGACATACAGGTTTCATTTGGCAGGCCATTAGTTCTCTATTAATTGAGAAAAATGGGGATCATTTCATGTACTGACTTCTCCTTTTAGGACCTAAAATAAGTATTACAAGAAAGATGTCAAGTCTGCACATTTGAAACTCAACTGTAGACTGATGAATATGAAATGACAGGTTAGTATTAAGCCATGACCGTGTTAAACATTGTTGCATTTCTTAATGCATTTCAGTTTCAAGGCATATGTGGAAGACTTCATCATGCTAATTATGACTAAGGAAAGTCTACATCATTCAGAAAAGTCTAGCTAATAACTCAACTCTGTTAAGAGATGTAATACTCCAGTTACAGGTGAAAAAAATAAGTAGATGACATACTAAACTGGCTAATAAAACTTTTGTTGAGGGAATATGGTTCGGAAAAGTGGTAGATAAGAAACGTTCTCTATGAGTTGCAGAATCCCTAGTTTTTTAGAAAGTAGGAAGAAAAAAGCATTTTTCTTATTGGCAGCGTTTTTAGCTTTTTGTAGGTAAATATCCCTCATCAATAGGAGTCACAAACTGGATCAGCACTAACATCATTGCCCTGAGAAGTATGTTCCCTCGCGGCTATGGGTCTGGAGATGCCTTTTGATTTTGTCAGAGCGGCTGAAGCACTTGCCACACACAGGGCAACTGTATGGCTTCTCCCCAGTGTGGATTCTCATGTGTACCTTCAAGTGAGCCATCTGTGTGAAGCCCTTTCCACAAATCTGGCAGCGGAATGGTTTTTCTCCCGTGTGACTACGCTGGTGCTCCTGCAGTCTTCCCGAGGAGCTGCAGCATTTCCCACATACTCCACAGCGGTAAGGTTTTTCTCGAGTGTGCACTTGTACATGCACATGCAGATGGCCAGCATGACTAAACGCCTCCCCACACACTTTGCAGCTAAAGGAAGATATTTGGCCTTGTAGGGGCGATTTTTGATGAGGGCAGTCCACGGCATTGGCTCCTTGATTGCGCATTTGAGAGGCCTGCCCTCTGTTAGCACCAGCTCCATTTCCCTTAGCACCAATCATCTGTCCTCCATTCTCTACCCCAATAATGTCAATGTTGTTCTCATTCGAGCAGTTTGGGTTGACTGGTGCGAGGGGCTGGGCGCCGCTGTTGGAGGAAGTAGAGCCTCTGTGGGCTCCTCCACTCTCCACCTTCACGTGTCTCGAGGACCCCCGAGATGCAGGATCCCTCTCCCTGTTCTCCACACCTTGACTCTGAGGAAGGTTGGATGTGTGCGGGCCTTCCTGGGGATATTCATTCACAACACGAGGGGGAGTAAACATGTTCTCGGGTGTGGTGCAAGAGCCATGACCACGAAGCTGATCATCTCCTTGGACGGGCCGGAGATCTCTTTTATCCTTAATCTGAATTGGGATGCGCTCTTCATGCCCCATGCTGGGACTCCACTCACGACGGGGATGCTCACCATCCTCCTCTTCCAACAGCACCATGGATGGACGATCTGAGAACACAACACAAGGAAAAGGTTCAGATGAAAATATTCACGTCATTGTTTTTTGGTAAACCACCCCTTCACAACGAATATGTTTACATGAAAAATGCTGAGCTGAACTTACTGTCCTGTTAACTTAAACAACAAATAAACAAACTACATATTTTAATTCAGCTTTGCAGACCTGGTCCTTCATGGATGTAAGCTTCTATGTTTTCTGTGAGCACTAAAATAATTCAAGTTTCCAACAATATCCGATAGACAAAGTTTTAAGAGTATTTAAACTTTGAATATAAATATCCAATTGAAATCTGTAGCAGTGGTGAAACACAACATGTCTTAGTTGTAACTAAGCTGTCCAATAAACAGTACTGCACTACTGTTTGCCCCAGGATATTGTCTAGCCTCCTGGATCAATTATCAATTAAGTTTAGTTTAAAAAATCAGGGGCTGCTAAGCAATACTTTTTCATTTAATGTTTTTAAGTCTTCTACAAAACAGTACATGTAAATACCGGGGAAACCCTTGAGATTGTAAGGATTGTGTACCATTAATCACAATAGATGTAATTGAGACATTTAACCATTTTAAAACAAAAAGATAGATGTCAAGTGAAAGTTTATGTAAACATGTTGTACAAACTGGTCTAAATATAAGAGTACTTGGCGTATTTACACTCAAAATAAACAATGGCACCTTGGGCAACACTTGCAGTAGTTTCAGCCATAAGTTTACTGTGTGGTTAGAGTTGTACTATATTGGAGTAAACAAAAACAAACACTGTGAAACAACAAGTGATTGTTATGAAAAAAATGTTTGCCGTTGTGTGCAGTTGTATCTGTCAGATAAATCATGAATAAGAACACTGAATACGTATAAACGCACACTAGTATGCAGTTTAAGCTACATGCTAAACCATGTATAGGCTAACCTAGCTGGTTGCTAACGAACAAAGGTTGCTACGCGCTAGCCGCTCCACAACAACAGCAGCTAAAGTCAACTAGCTTGCTAAAGTTAACTTGTTTGGAAGTGAGTCAACATCCTTCTGACAGTATTTGGTGTGTTGTGACATTTATTTTTTAGGTGGTCATTTTCCTTTTACTACCAAATGCCACCACAAGACTTGGCAGACTGTAAATAAAGGGGCGCAACTGCACTGTTAGCTTTTTGCGGAGCTAACCTGGCCATATTTCGATCCCAGCGTCTCGCAGCCTGCGTCTCAAATGATCGTTCTCCCGCTCCCTGATCGCTATCTCCTCCTGGTACTCCAAAATAGTATCCTCGACAGATTTGTATATCTCCTGTGCAGCGAGCATGAGACGCTCAGTCAAAAAGACGTTTAAAAACTGCAGTTTGGTCATTGTCTTGGGTTGCACGGAGCATTCGCTGTTCTCCAAAATGGACCAAAAAAGATGCTCGACCCAATCACGTGACCCGGAATTATGTCTTCTCCGCTTGCTGCTCCTTCTTCATCGTTCCCCCAAGATTGTCTGTGACCCATCCATGCTGTGACCCCACTGATTGTGCTAGATTTTTGAGTTGCAGAGGCGACGGATTTGGGTTAGTTTCGGCTTTGAATGCTGTAACGTAACACTAATTAGGTCACTGAATGGTGTTACACCTGCTGCCATCACCTTAACAGAAAAAGACAGTAGCCTATATTTTATACTAATGCACTATGACATTAGAAATCTGTTATTTCAAGGCTGATTATTTAATAGGGCATAACATGTCAAAGGGCCATGTAATATCATTACATTTGAACGGATGCACACTTTTGTGGTTCTCAGGTCAAGCACACCCACTGTGAACAAGCTTTGAAATTATACATGAAGACCAAACAAAGCATTCTGTATCTTATTTTGAAAATGTTCTATCTGAGTAATAAGAAGTCCCAAATACAAACAACATAGTGTGGGAAGTTGGGAACTACATCATTGTCTATACAGGACAGTTTGTGGACACCATCATCGCAGTAAAGAGAGACTTTTATAAATTGTGTTTGAAAACCAAATTAGAATATTAGCTCACTGCAGGGGCACAGTCATAAATATTTGAAAAACAAGTAACACCTATGCGAAATTAAATACCCAAAAATATTTTATTTAATTTTTATAACGTTTCCCTTTTCTATATTTCTTCGACTTTTGCAGGACTTAATAACAAGGGAATGATTTCAAATGAATTTTTAATGTGAATTTGTAGATTATTGTTTCATCACCAATTAATTAATTAACTAGGTAAACAGGTGGCATGACCTGGAAGTCTGGCTTCCTTGCATTTGAATACATTTCATTTTTATTTGTTTAATTCTTTATTTGTGTTCACATAGTATTTATAGCATTCTGCTCAGTTACCAGCCCTATCTTTTTTAGTGACTCAAACATGTCAAACAAACCAACGTACAATAAATATGGAGATTTACAAGTAAAAAACTAAACAAACAGGAAAACAATAAAACATTTCTTAATAACATTTGTATAAATATTTAAGAATGATACTCTGAAATGATTAAAGTGGTTAAAGTCTCACGCTTGAACACTTGTACTCCAGCTCGCCAGGCGGCGGGACAGGTGCCGTGTCGCTGACAAAAGCGGAAATGACGTAGCGTCAAATTTGCGCACTGCTCCACGTGTGAGAGCAGAAAAAGCACATTGGCAGATCGACAGCTCCACCATGAAGCGACCAAGTAAGTGCGCACTGATAGCTATGTTAAATGTATATGTAAGCTTATTTAAAAACAACTAATTAATTCTGTATGATTTGGTTGATTCTCCCAGCTAATAAACTATATGTTGATTGCAAAAAAAAACACAATTTGTCAGTCTGCTTTAGCCTCGTTTTACGGTAACGTTGACTGACCGACGCATAACTATTTTTTGTCTTTTTTTGTCTTCAGAGTTAAAGAAAGCAAGCAAGCGGGTGTCGTGCTCCCAACGCTATAAAATACAGAAAAAGGTAAGTGTCTGACTTTTTGTAATACTTTCCTGTAAAAAATAAAGGTTCGCATGTGTTTACACCATGAGGCCTATGTGAACGAGGCGGCTAACGTTAATGACACCCACATGCCTTACTCGTTTAGATTTTTTAAATTGTTTTTAAAGTAATTGTTTACATTTTGTTGTGTGTTTAGGTCAAGGATCACACCAGAAAACTAAGAAAAGAGTTAAAGAAGAAAGGAGGAGCGAGCAAAAGGCCTAAGAAGGATCTCGGCGTGCCCAACAGCGCTCCCTTCAAAGAGGAGGTCCTCCGCGAGGCCGAGCAGAGGAGGCAAGAGGTGGGCATCATGCGTACTCTATTATATATTCATAATGGAGATATGTGCCAATATACAAACTCAATGTAACATTAAATTAAATGGAATTTGTAGTAAATGCATACACTACAACACACTATAAATAAGACTTGTGTTTACATACTGTGCATTTATATTAGCTTTAATGATTAAATGGAGATGCTTTATCAGTGAAAAATGTGATATAAAATATTTGTCTAGATTAATATAGTTTAAGTTGCAATACCACCATTATCTTTTCTTAAGATCCTGTGAATAATGCATCTGAATATTTTTTTTTTGGACTATACATTTGGATCCATTTCATTTAGCTGACACGACTTGAAATTACAGGGACATTCTCCCTGGATTAACTAAGGGCACACTAGTGGTGGTGTTCCAGGCGGGATTTGAACTCTCAATCTTCCGATCTTCAGCTCACCTCACTATCCATTAGACCACCACTACTAGATACACGACTTACAACATATGATTGATTTATAAAATTATACTTGACCATATCTACCAAGTTGACAGATTAACTGTTTTCCCTGAGCTTTATTTCAAAAACGCGTATGGACACTTAATCTGCTAAAACATTAGAAATAATAATGAATATTGGTTAGTATTGCCTTAAAAGCTCCAGGCTATACAGTTGGATGAGAATAATGCTCCAATAGAATCGAAAAAGTGAAACTATTTGTGCTCCAATGCAACCACCAGGTGGCCCCGAACAGTGTGGATCTTTAGAAGACAGTTTGCTCTTATATCACAGATGATTATATCTTTACTAGCCTAAGCCTAGCCTGTGTTTCAAAACATGCAGAACTTTAATAAATAAACTAATACTGCCCTACTTTGCAACTTTTTGTTACAACAAGATGGCTGGTACTTGCTCTAGAGGTTTACGGTGTTACTTAACCAGTATTTTGGCAATGTGTACCCCTCAGTTGTTCACATTTTGATATAATAGTTTTAAGCTGTTGTATTTATTGTTCATGTTTTCTTTCTTGCAGATTGACGAAATAAAAGACAAAAAAAAACAAGCAAAAAAAGTGGAGCGGGCCCAGAAGAGAAAAAGGGAGAAAGTTACCGGGAAAAAAGAAACGGAACCCAAAGCCAAGAAGCCTCTACAGGTAAAAAGGCAAACATTTAAATATTTATTCAGTAACACATTTTATCACTTAATTTGATTGTTTTGGGTGTTTTCTTTCCATAGGAAGTGGTTGTCGAACAGCCAGAGAAAGAGCTCGGCCCAGACAAGGGCTCAAAACAGTACCTTTGCGCTGAATTAAATAAGGTAACACTTCACAATCCAAGTCGGTGTTTTATTGTAGAAAAAAAAGGTTTTGACCTGATATTTAACCTGCTCTCCCTTGAATTTCTTTCAGGTAATTGATGCCTCTGATGTAGTAATAGAAGTGCTTGATGCACGTGATCCAATGGGGTGCCGGTGTCCACAGCTGGAGGAGGCGGTGCTGCAGAGGGGAGGCAAAAAGAAACTGCTGTTGGTTTTAAGCAAAATAGGTAAATGGACATGAGATGCTGCAATATGATTTAAAGTCAAGCGCGTACACATAAACACTGATGAGGGTTTTTGGATTTAAATAAGTTGTCTGGACTCTAAATGTTGTTTTTTTAAAATTATCTTTTGTTGTAGATCTGGTACCAAAGGAAAATGTGGAGAAGTGGATCCAGTGCTTACAGCTGGAGTTTCCAGTTGTGGTGTTCAAAGCCTCACAACAGATCCAGGACAAAACAGTGGTAAGGGGTAACATTTTATGTTTGTCATCAATAACGCATGTTTAGATCTGCAATTTATAAGGGATATACGAAAAGCAGTTGATTCAATCAAAGGTTGTTGTTTTTTGGCTTTTCTTTTAGAAACATGTCAGCTTTTGGATGCATTACCCATCCTAGTTAAGTTCAAGCCTTTGTGCTATGGGCATCGAAACGCATGTTCGCTCAAATCCATCTTTTTTTTTTTATTCATGGAAATGTATAAGGAGTTTAGAAAATACTGCTACTAATTTTGTGTTTATACATTAGTGTAATCTGGAGGACTGAGAAGGTTAAGCAGCCTGCAGTGCTGCTATAACTGGTTATAGCCTCCTAAAGTAACTCACTAACCACTCAATTCAGTGGCTCCGTCATATAAGCAGAGCTGATGTGTAGTGTGTTTGTGAACAAAACAAAGATTTATTTTCCAATAAATGCTGTTATTTACAAAGACTATTTCAGCAACAAAAGGAGAATCTTGACGGTAATTAACATTGTTTTTTCTGTGTCACCATCAGCGAGCCAGGAAGAGCAGGATAGTAGCCTCCAATGAAGTCCTGGACAGATCCCGAGCAGCAGCCTGCTCTGGAAACGTCTGTCTCAGCGAA